TTTTTTACACATTTTGATACATTGCGGCAGTTTATTGATGCACATTGCGCCACATCTTACCTATTCTGCGCACATTCCGCTGTTTAGTACCACATTTCGCTGTTTAGTAGCACATTCCGCTGTTTAGTATATTATTTTTTACACATTTTGATACATTGCGGCAGTTATTGATGCACATTGCGCCACATTCTTACCCATCCCGCGCACATTCCGCTGTTTAGTAGCACATTCCGCTGTTTAGTAGCACATTTCGCTGTTTAGTATAATATTTTTTACACATTTTGATACATTGCGGCAGTTATTGATGCACATTGCGCCACATTCTTACCTATTCCGCCACATTTCGCTGTTTAGTGCCACATTTCGCTGTTTAGTAGCACATTCCGCTGTTTAGTATAATATTTTTTACACATTTTGATACATTGCGGCAGTTTATTGATGCACATTGCGCCACATTCTTACCCATTCCGCGCACATTCCGCTGTTTAGTACCACATTTCGCTGTTTAGTAGCACATTCCGCTGTTTAGTATAACATTTTTTACACATTTTTTACACACACACGGACGCACGCACGCGCGCACGCACGCACGTGTACGTGCACACGCACGCACAGTGTACGTGCACACGCACGCACGTCTAACGTGCACACGCACGCACGCATGTGTACGGTGCACACCGCACCGCACCTCACGCACCGCACGCACGCACGTCTAACGTGCACACGCACGCACGCATATGTACGTGCCACACGCACGCACCTCACGCACGCACGCCAACGCACGTCTACGTGCACACGCACGGACGCACGCACGCATGCACGCATGTGTACGTGCATATGCAGGTACGCACGCGCGCACGTGTACATCCAAACGCACGCACGCACGCACGCACGTGTACTTGCACACGCACGCACGCACGAACGTGTACGCACGCACGCACGCACGTATACGTGCACACGCACACATTCTTACACATTCCGCGCACATTCCGCTGTTTAGTATAACATTTTTTACACATTTTGATACATTGCGGCAGTTATTGATGCACATTGCGCCACATTCTTACACATTCCGCGCACATTCCGCTGTTTAGTAGCACATTTCGCTGTTTAGTAGCACATTTCGCTGTTTAGTATAATATTTTTTACACATTTTGATAACATTGCGGCAGTTATTGATGCACATTCCGCTGTTTAGTAGCACATTTCGCTGTTTAGTAGCACATTTCGCTGTTTAGTATAATATTTTTTACACATTTTGATAACATTGCGGCAGTTTTATTGATGCACATTGCGCCACATTCTTACCTATTCTGCGCACATTCCGCTGTTTAGTACCACATTTCGCTGTTTAGTATAATATTTTTTATACTTGCACGCGCACACATTCTTACACATTCCCGCGCACATTCCGCTGTTTAGTATAATATTTTTTACACATTTTGATACATTGCGGCAGTTATTGATGCACATTCCGCTGTTTAGTAGCACATTTCGCTGTTTAGTAGCACATTTCGCTGTTTAGTATAATATTTTTTACACATTTGGATACATTGCGGCAGTTATTGATGCACATTGCGCCACATTCTTATACCTATTCTGCGCACATTCCGCAGTTTAGTACCACATTTCGCTGTTTAGTAGGCACCTTCCGCTGTTTAGTATATTATTTTTTTTACACATTTTGATACATTGCGGCAGTTATTGATGCACATTCCCGCTGTTTAGTAGCACATTTCGCTGTTTAGTATAATATTTTTTTACACATTTTGATACATTGCTGCAGTTATTAATGCACATTCCGCTGTTTAGTAGCACATTTCGCTGTTTAGTATAATATTTTTTACACATTTGGATACATTGCGCAGTTATTGATGCACATTGCGCCACATTGCTTACCTATTCTGCGCACATTGCCCGCTGTTTAGTACCACATTTCGCTGTTTAGTAGCAACATTCCGCTGTGTTTAGCTAATATTATTTTTTACCAGCATTTTGATACATTGCGGCAGTTATTGATGCACATTCCGCTGCTTTAGTAGCAACATTTCGCTGTTTAGTAGCACATTTCGCTGTTTAGTATAATATTTTTTACACATTTGGATACATTGCGGCAGTTATTGATGCACATTGCGCCACATTCTTACCTATTCTGCGCACATTCCGCTGTTTAGTACCACATTTCGCTGTTTTAGTAGCACATTCGCGTGTTTAGTATATTATTTTTTACACATTTTGATACATTGCGGCAGTTATTGATGCACAAAACGCCACATTCTTACCCATCCCGCGCACATTCCGCTGTTTAGTAGCACATTTCGCTGTTTAGTATAATATTTTTTACACATTTTGATACATTGCGGCAGTTATTGATGCACATTGCGCCAATCATTCTTACCTATTCCGCGCACATTCCGCGTGTTTAGTACCACATTTTCGCTGTTTAATAGCACATTCCGCTGTTTAGTATAATATTTTTTACACATTTTGATACATTGCGGCAGTTATTGATGCACATTGCGCCACATTCTTACCCATTCGCGCACATTCCGCTGTTTAGTAGCACATTCCGCTGTTGTAGTAGCACATTCTGCTGTTTTAGTAGCACATTTCGCTGTTTAGTAGCCACATTCCTGCACATTCCTGCACATTTCGCGCGCACATTCTTGCCACATTCCGCGCACATTCCTGCACCATTCTTGCACTATTCGCGCACAATTCTGCACATTTCGCTGTTTAGTAGCACATTTCGCTGTTTAGTAGGACCCCGTATGAACGCTGTCGCATGGAGACGTGCGCCAATTCGAGGCCCGGCGCACGTCTCCACAGCGGTCAGCGGATGGTCTGTAGTTTTAGAAGATAACAATGAAGACTTTGTTCAAAATAAAAGAACTATCGGCGGCTAAATAAGAGCAATATACAGACCTTTGAATTTCTTGACTAGTCAGTCAAAGGGCTTGTTGGGGGGTCCGTTATGCAAAGCTTCCAATTGAAATGGCCCATAAAATTGTCGTGGAATTGTGTTTTCGCAACCCCAAAGAAAATTCTCCCTCTTACAGGCACCCCTCCCTGATAATCACCGCATTCAGGCGATAAACAATAACAGAGATGATAATTGTGTTGAGTTTGTGGCTCTTGACGCACGTGCATTGACGTACAGAATGAATTGAAAAGCACAGGCACTTGAACTCTCAATAAAAATAAATTTCACACATTTTCACAATGATCCCGCCTGTGTGCAAAATAGGTGAACGTATGTGAAACATTTACGGTTAGTATATACTTACTGTGACATATCCGTGACTAACTGACACCACTAAATTGCGTAAAATGTTTCACGCACCTTAAGAAATTCTGAGAAATTACGAGGTTATCATCGCAGAACTCCCGACACCGCCCATCCTATGTCACAAAGCTATATGTAAACAAACAGGCGTGTTGCGAGGTGCCTGCCTCGATATCCATTTCGAGGCCCGCTAAGCCAAGCGGCGCAAGACGTCACACACACAGCTACGTTCATTGGCTAAAACAATCGAGTAGCGCGGTCAGGGATTTTGGAATTCTTTAATTTAAGAAAAACTTCAATGTTCAATGAATGACGCACTCGTTCACTTCCGAAAGCGGGTAAAATGCCAAATTTTTCCACTTCGATGCAAAATGCATCGGCCGGGCATTTCATTATTTACCAAAAGCAAACAGTCTCGCCAAACACCTAGACGCAGTAACTGTCACGTCGTTGACGTCCATTCAGTGTCAATCAACGAAGAAGGCGGGCTTATTCCGATTACGGAGATGCGTTAATGAAACAAAAGGACGTAGCGCAGTGCGCTAACGCGTGCTATTTTCGTTTTGTGCCAAACTTTATCGTAGGAAACCGTTCTAGCCTAGCAGAATGCCCTAGTTCTTGAGATCGGCGATTCCGTACCTCAATGGGTCCCCCACCTTTGAAATTATAACGGAGAGGTGCGGCGTACGCTGTGATTGAATACACAAAGTGTCAATCCTCGGCGCGCCTCGGCATCGATGGCCGCATCACGCTCCAGAGAGACATGGATACAAGCGTTGACGTTGCAGCAGGCTGTAGATCATGAAGGCCGCTGAGCGGCGGCCGACAACAGCTGTTCCGCGGATATTGCGCACGCGACCGCCGGGGATGTTCAAGTATGAAAGCGCTGTCCCGCAGTGGCAGACTGCGCCAAATTCG